GCGTTAACAGGTCTACTGTTTTTACTGTAGGTCTACCGTTTTCCCTTAATATACCGTGGAACCGTATTTTACAAAAATTCTACCGTATTTCAAGAAAATATTATATTTTACAAAATTCATAAAAATTTTGACAAAATTTACATTGCACAATCGTACAAAATCGCTAAACGCGTGAAGTGCGTTTCAGTATTATTTAAATTCCCCAATTTGTGTCACGGGTTGTACGTTTTGTCAAATTTCAGTTTGATTCCCTCTTGCGTTGTAATATGAACAACACTTTTTTTTTTCAAACTATATTTGAGTAAAGGATTTTAAAAAGTAAAATGTCAGGCATTTTTGATTGTACTTTGATTTTACAACAAAATTTGTTACTTTAATTGGTGATTAAGTCTGAGAAGCAGGCTTTGGGATTTGGGAAGTTTTTGTGAAACCTGTGTAAATACTTGCGTGTTAACCGACTCGATGATTAGTTGTATCAGCTCCGGATCCAATAAGACGAAATTTCGCATTCCAGAACTCTGCATAATTACTTCTGGCGTTGGACCATTGATGTGCGGTTGTCCTTCCATAGCGGACGATGCCTTTCCAGAACCATTGGGGTCATTTTTACTACCAACATTCAAGGCTAAGTTTTGGGCTGCGTGTGCCTTGATTCCAAGACGTTGTACTGTAATGGGCGGTATTTTCTCAACTCTAGGTGTGTCATGTCCCCCATGAATGAACGGCCTCCATACTTGATGCTTTCCCGGTGACGTTGTACTACTTCAAAATTTTTGAACGTCCAATGGTGATCCATCTCGATATGCAAAGCAGCTCCTCAAAAAAAAACAAAAAAAAAAACAGAAAACAAAACAAAAGAAAAATATAAAAAAAAATCATAATAAAATGTGTCTCTCCATGAATACAACTTTACGAACCTCATCCCTTGCACAAGCAACAATCTGTACCGCCAAAGCAGTACGTTTTAGTGAAATTAAAATAAAGCAATTTTTATAACAGTTTTACAAAACAAGTACGTAATGAGTTTCTTAACAAAGTCAGGTCCTACTAGTCAGTAATGTCAATATTGTTCTAGTTCGTGGTCAAACATACACACTTCAGGCGCCCCCACATTCGTTGGCAGATTCATTCAACAAGCATACAAAATTAAGAAACTCAAAACGTCAAAAAAAAATTAAATTCAATTTTTCTTTAAATTATCCTGGTCATCCTGGTCACGGCACCAATCTGTAAGCGTACACACCCCCCCCAGCAAAGAATCTGTAAAAGTTACACCCCAAGTGATAAATGAAATATAACACCACGGCAAATGTTATATTAAATTACGACAAATAAATAAAATAAATACTTACGGTAATAAAGCTCATTAATTTAGTAACCCAAGGTACTTGTGAGGTATTGTATTCATAGGGAAAGTATTAAAAAGGGAAATAATAAATACAGTAAATAAAAGGCAATAAGTTACGTTTGAACTCAGGTCAAAAACCCGGAAGGCTCCCGTTTATTTTTTATTAAGTATCGCTCATAAAACCTTCCAAAATGAGGGATTATGGGAGTGAGTTTCACGTATAAAATATTTACAATTTATAACAAACAATAATGATATTTATTTGGATAGAGCAACAAAAATAACCGCAACCCAAACGACATTTAACTTAGTGAACTCTGAAAGAAAAGGACCTCCTACAACCGTTTAAAACCACACAATATCTCCTTACTGCGACTACAACCCAAATATAAATAAATATATAAATAACATTAGATAAATAATACATCATACTAGAGCTTAGCTCTCGTTTTTCATTTTTAATTTTTATCTTCGCTTTTTGCTGATTTGTTTGTTTATTTGTTTGTTTGTTTGTTTGGTGAAAGTAGATTGAGTCTTAGTCTCTATTTTTGTATTTTAAATTTAACTTTATTCATCAAGCATTCCGTTTGCAATAGGCCTCCATCATCCAAATAAAGTTTTTGTATTATTATTTACTGTTGAATTTTAAGTTTACTGTTACACGAATTTTTCATGTAATATTTATTAGAGTTCAGGCTCAATAAACTGTTGGAAAAGGAGTAAATAATTATTAGGCCGCAATTGCTTCAACTGAGGGTCCGCAATTGTCTATTTTGCCTCATTTGTCGGCAAACTTTAATAAATTAATAATTACCATAAAATACTAGGTAATCAAAATGACACAAATAACAAAAACAATATATCGTCGCCCAACGTTGGTACCAGATGAAACAACATATCGTCACCTAATAAAATTTACAGGATAGTAATTCAAAATGGGCTTGTTGCATCATGGACTCCACGGAAAGTGGATAAATTAAATGTCGTTATCGTACAATTACTGTTGCCACTCACTCCAAACGTAATACCAAATATTTAAAAATGACTGGTAAAATTCACTTAAATAATTACGGGACATAAATGTGAATCCGCGAGTACAATTTAATAAATCCCGTATTTAAGAAAATCGATATTAAATACACTTAATTTACACAGCGTTTACGTTAAATCCCCTTTTTGAACTATTTATTAAAATTAATTAAATAATCTTAAGTACTGCCCTGACATTTAGCTTAATTAAATCGAATACGGTCCTGCATATTTTAATTGGATAAAATACACGTAAGTTCCTGCTCTTTTTAATTTGATAATTACCGTTAAAATTCCCTGCCTTTTATTAGATAAAATACACGTACCAATTGTTTATAACTTAAAATATAAATTATAATACGAAATACCTAGTTTTAAATGTAAATTTTACAGCGTGGTTTATTTTAAAACGTCAGCCATTACAGCTGAATAGATCGAACGATGACGCCAAGTCAATTGATCGAATATTTATCTTTACATAATTAGTTTGTGTAAACTAATTATACCAAAATGCTCAAGAATATTTATACTACAATAATTTAGTTATTTAAAACGTACAAACCTACAAATTCCAACACTTTTCTGCACACACAATTTTTAAAACCCTAGTCGCTGCTCGGCTCTGCTCCAATGCTCGAATGAATGTTCTCCCCTGCCCGTCACTTGCGTCTAGCATTCTTTTCCCCTACCTTTCCCCACTTAATCAGGAGAGTTTTTCTAACCAATGGCACGCTACCTTTTATATGTCACTTGTATTTCCGTTGCGCTAAATTTAAATGTTAGTTTTATTTACAGGGCTTTTTGAATGCATTTATTTTAAACAATTAGGATCGTAATAACCCACGGATTGTTTATTAGGGGGGGTATTTGCAGATCTCCTCAATATCCAAGCCACTTCGGTTTTTGTACTGCGGGCAGCAAACTTTTGACCTATAAATAAAACAAAATACATAAATAATTCGGTATGTAATTAATAAGTAATTTATAGTGTTTTTTAGAAACATAATTATATATATTATACATTTACCACTTCTGCCTATTTATAGCCGGTCCCTATACTATAAGAAAACGTCACTTAACTCAATTAGTACGTTTTCAATAACAAAATAATTAAATAAAAAATCTTCGAAATTTTGGAACCATAGGACGAACAAAAATGCCAACCAAAACTGATATATATATTTTGATTATAGACCCTTTTGGTAACACTAACATGTATTTATAAAAATTCCAGCTGATCCTATTTTAAAGTTTTGCAAACTTTTTTGTTTTTCTATTTCTATATATTATTTTGAAATTATTGTGTTAAAACTACCTGTACAATTTTCATAAAATTAAGCAAAATAATAAACTTTGTATCATTTAAATTACTTTACTCCCCACTATTAATTTATTGAGTCACCTATTATTTTTTACCACTCAAAACAAAACATAACAAAAAAAAGGAAGATTTACATCTTAAATATTTTTTATAACAAAAAATACTGGAAGTTTGTCTATGAAATAATTACAACTTGCTAATTTTGTAAAACAATAATTAAGGTGGTTATGAAAAAAATTGCTATACGTTATAACGCAAGTGACATTTTGCTTTAGTTGTTTATTTAATGTATACTTTATAAAGTTAAAAATAGTATTTTAAAATGAAAATTAAACCAAAATTCAAGTTAAGCCATGAAGAAAATCCAAAGAAGGTATGTTCTGGCTGTGGAGACAAAATTGTTTTTGTTAATCGAAAAATTCAGAGTTTAGGGTTTCTGAGAAAATATAAAAATTACTGCAGACTTTTTCAAACGAACACTTTAACTTAAGTGATTTAAAATTACCTACTTCAATATGGTAAAAATTTTTATGGAAAAATACCGTTAACGGTATTTTTCCATAGCCACAACTGCCAAATTTTCAAAATTTAGAAATTGCTAGAGAATTTCGCGGCAGCCAAGAATGTATGTGCTTTACCTGCAAAATGGCAAGATATAAAGGGCATAAAAAATTATTAAGGGAAGAGGACGGACGAACGAACTAAAGTTTTGATATGCTCTTCCTTTCTAGGGGATATCGCTAGATGTAAGAAGCATGTTTGTACAGAGACTGAAGAATTTAAAAATACTGTTTCCATGTTAAAAACAATTCCATGTAAAACCCAAGAAAAAGTTTTACTGAAAATTTAAGGCAAGCAGTAATCGATTTTGCTTCGAAGAATCTTTAGTTATTTATTAGTTTTGTATTAGATACCTTAAAACAATAAATGAGATATTGCAAAACTTTATTTTACATTATTTTGTATATATAATGTAATTTATCCATATTTCAGTCATGTATCTGCCAAATTTTTAAAAACATTTGATAATGGTACTAGAGTATTTTATCGAAATGGCATACACAATTTTAAAATACTAAGAAATATGCAAAACTTTAACTTTAACAAAAGAGTCTATAATCAGATTATGCTGTCAGTTTTGGTTGGCATTTTTGTTCGTCCTATACTTTAGTTTTGACCACCGTTACAGGTATTCAACTAGTAAGTAATAAAATAACTAATAATTTACATAAAAATTTTTAATAATGTATTTTTTTTTAAATGTAATTTTTTTCAAAAGGTTTTACTGAATAAAACGCTTACCGATGCAATTTCTGGGTCCCGCGCTAAATGGACAATACGCGTATGGATGTCTTTGCGAAGCTATCTCGGGGAGGAAACGGTCAGGATCAAACCGTTCGGGGTCAGGCCATTGTTCAGGGTCTCGGTGAAGTTGAAACAGATCCACGGAGACCATCACTCCATGAGGAATTTTCAGATTATCTACATAAAAACAAAATTAAGTATTAGTTAGGGCTGGTTTATCAATGTCAAGGTTAAGTTCCAGTTAGTTTATCTGGCAATAACTTTCATGGATACCATTGTTTTGACAATAATACCTATTAAAGTTATTTGTAAGATAAACTATCTGGAACACAACCAAAGATTATGATAGTTAAACAATGTTTTTAGATAAGAGATTTACAGAAACTACATATGTCAACCATGTCAACTTCAGGTTGCTCCAGATGAATTGTTTGTTTTGTCTTCATTGCATCTAAGGAAATACATGGCGCGCCATTATAGTTAAAGGCATTTAGGAATAATTAATAAGGTCAAAAAGTTAAATAGTCATACTGTAGTAAGTACTATTCACCACACACATAAGTCCTACCACGTTACTTTGATACATATAATTAAGGTTAGTTTTATATTAGTATGAAGCTAATTTCGTTCTATTTCCTAAAAATAATACAATATATGTATTTTTTGTGTGGTAAATTAAGACTTTTATACACAAAAATGGGACGAAATTAGCTTGAAACTGACAAAAAATTAACCTTTATAATTTGTATCAAAGTCACGTGGTGGGACTTTTGGGAGAGGACCATGACAATTTTTTTTCAAAACGTATTATAGTTAAGGAAATTCTGTGACGTACACAAAATAAGAAATTGCGAACAAATAAATTGTTATGGCTAATATTTTATCCAAGTTCTGATGGTTGCAGGAATCAGCAGTCGAATCTTAGACTATCAGGTTTTTGATACATTTCAACGAATCGGATAGGGGCCCCTTACAGTTAATTTATTTAATATGATTATCGATTAAATAAAAACAAAACATGCATTTTAGAGAATAAGTTTGGTTCAGCCGTGTGGTCAAAAGAAAATTTGCCTGGAAGATTTAAAATGAAGAGACCCAATATAAAATATTACCCTTACATACCTAAAACTATTTCCTTGTCTAATTTTCTCCCAACTATATGCGCAGGAACATACAGTCTTAAAACTTCCTTAATTACTCTGTCCAAATACTTCAATCTAATAATATCTTCAGGAGTCATCGGTCTCTCTTTGCCTTGGAAGATTTCGTCCAATTCCGCTTGAACTTTGGCCTGAAACATAATGGTTTTTATTATACCATTATTAAGATCTTTTACCCGAGTCTATAAAAATAAATGGTCGTTTGAAACCCAGATAGAAAAATAAATAAATTTTCTTACACACAAGAGTGTCATAAGTTGCATTACAGCAATTTGAGATGAAAATAAAAATTAGGAGGCGGCCTTTCTAACAAGATTTTTTTATATTTTTTTAATTTGGATTGGGATTTAGTTTTCTATTTTATTTATAATAATTTTTATTTGTTAAAACCTGTATGGTTTTTGCGCGGAATATGCCTAATTTTGATTTTGTTGATATCAAAGTTAACCTTTCTTTCATCCAATGCCCGACTGAGAACAGTTAGCCTTTATTAAAAGTCTCAGGGCAAGTTACTAAATCAGGTGTAAAAATTAAAAAGGTTTTTTACTGTTAAAAAAGTAACACACGTGTTGGCACGCATACCATAAGGAGTTTAAATTACACTACAATTTTACAATGATCACTTTTGTACGGCGAAATGAAATGCATTATTCTACTTACTTGAATGTCAGGATAATTGGCCAAGGCGAACAAAGTCCAGCCGATCGCCACTGCTGTTGTATCATGTCCCTGCAACAAACAAATAAATTAGTTATTTTCTATTAAGGTGTTCCAAAAGAATTTCATGATATAAATATTTAATAAAAAATAACAAAAAACGGTGTTTTCACTTATTTAGGTACTATTTTAACTGTCAAGTTAAACTGGATACAAGTATATGTTTTAAGAAAGTAAATTTGCAATATAACTTTCCTAAAAATGCAATTTAAAGCAAGCCTAAATAATGCATATAGGTTTTTATCCCACAATTTTTATGACTTATTTTTTTTTTAATCAAAACTAAACGATGTATAGGGTGATTATTTTAAGATTATTTTGGGTATACTTTAAGTACCCTATACAAAAATTATAATTTTTTACGACGAATAGTTCTTAAGTTATCCTAAGGGCTTAAAAATTGAATTTTTATTTTTATTATTTTAATGTTTTGAGATTTTGGATTTGCTGGGTGGATGGTAGCCACCTCGTGGTTGCATTCACTTAGATCACAGTTGGCCCTTTGCACCTCCGATATCCATTTTTCCTAGATTGCTCAAACTTTTTCCAGCCATCCGAGCTTCCGAAAGAAATCCAGAAAGATGGCGGAAGAAATAGAGCTAATGTTGCTTGCATCAACCCATTGTTCGCCTTTGATGGGTTTCAAGAAGAGCAGTTACAGGCTCTGCAAAGATGAATGTTTACTTTTCTTATCTTGTAAGTAGGTTAGAAAGGTTTTGAAGAGATAGCTGTAGACTGTATTTGGCCAACTTGTCAGATGAATTACTGATTATAGTATTGATCTGATGGCATGAACTTAAGTTAACCCATCTTCTTAGTTGTTTTTTATGGGTTTGTTTTTTATGTGGACTTTTAAGATTGATTTGAGGCAGGACAGGTTAAGGACCCACTGCAGTGCACTGGCAGCTTTGTCGATCTCTGTCCTGCAAGTTTATAAGTCTTTTCGTTTCCTTCATTACGATTATGTCCTTTAACCTATACAAGTTTTAGGACGTTTATTCTTATCAGCCTCAATGCAGCAGTGCATTCTGCTACCATCCCAGAGTCAACAATATAGTGGCCCATGGCCTTGCAAAGCCAGCAAGGAGGCCCTGCTGTCTGAAAAATGACAATAATCAAAACATTAAACATCGGTCAAAATAATTTTTCCATACTTTCTGAAAATTAAAATTAAAAAAAAATAAAAACTTTTTTTGGTTGGGTGAAAAAATTCTGAAACATGTTTTTGATAGGGTAAAAAAGATAAAAAAAAGCTTCAGACAAATCAAACGGAGCCGGGCCAAAAGTGTCCGATTTTGTATGTATACCATCAAAACAGCTAAAAGGCATAAAAGGGTAAACAGTCATAACTAATTTGTTGATATTTACTCACGGCTAACACAAAGGTATCCACTTCCTGTCTGATTTCCTCATCGCTTAGCATGGTGTTACCTTCAAGGAGTAAATCCAAGAAGGCTTTTCTCTCTTTTCGTCCCATGATTTTTTCCTCCTCGGATGTTCGCTTCTTTAGTTGGTTGTTATTTTGCAATTTCTCGCGTTTTTCACGAATTACCTAGGAACAATAATCAAAAGTCAAGAAATCATTGGGTGGTGTCAAATCGGATAAATGATGACCATAGGCGTCCGAAACAGGGGCTACGCTCAAGCAAATTAGTGGGCAATAGAAAAACATCAAGTTAGTCTGCTTCGCAAATATCGGTATTTTGTCAGTGGTGATATTTGTCAAATCGTTTGTCAAAACATAAATCAGTACAAACTGTAATTTCTAACAAAAATATATTTTATTAGTAAAAATGCTAGTATTAATTCAAATAGTAGAATTTTGGGCTGCCGACAAAATGATTTATTATCTATGCATAAAATTCAAGTTGAACAATTAAATATACTGCATACTTATTTTCCAATAACTATAGTTATTGGAAAATAAGTATGCAGTATATTTAATTGTTCAACTTGAATTTTATGCATAGATAATAAATCATTTTGTCGGCAGCCCAAAATTCTACTATTTGAATTAATACTAGCATTTTTACTAATAAAATAGTCGTTTTCACTTTTAAATAGTTATTTTTTACTACTTAAATAGTTATTAAATGACTATTTCTGAGAGTTAAAAGTAATTAACTAATTTCTTTAATCGTTTGCGGCCAACAACAAATTATTGTTTGAGTTAAATGCATATCACGGTGCTCCTGAGGCGATTTAAATAAAATTTTGATGACACTCCAAAATTCAAGTTTTATATTGTTCTTTAATGTATTTAGAATAAATCTCAACAGTTTTGAAAATCAGTTTACGTGATCGTTTTTTTTTTAAATGGGTTTGAATAAAAAAGTCATGTTTTCGGGGATAAACAAATATTTAATGCAATAAATACATAAAACAAGGAAAATTTGCGTCACTTTTTTTAAATTACAAATAAATTATACGTATTTATAAAAGTAATTCTTGTTAAAATAATAAAACTTTCGAACGTAACAGTAGTTTTAGACTTTTAGCGCTACTGTAATATAGCTATAATTATAAACCTATATAAACTTTAAACATAACACTATAAAATTTAATATAAAAACGATATGGAAAATATGTCATATGCTTATAAATGTAAACTATTATAGCTACATACAGCTCGATGTAGTTTTGGCCAATAATTCTCGCTGAGTTCCGGCACTTTATAATTTTGTAATTTCAAATTAAAATCATGGTGAACTGATTCTGTACCTTGTTCTGCGAAAAATCCTAATCCCACTTGATGCTTGGAACAAAATTGCACAACATGATAGAAAATTGTATGCAATTTTGGCGTCACAGTTATCTTTAAATATTCGTAGCTTTCTTTAAATTCTTTAACATGTTCCTTTAAATTTGGATGTAAAGTCAGTGAAAAACAACTGTTAACTACTACTCCGAACTTTCTAAATGTATCAACATAATCCATGCCTTTATAAAACTGACGAACTTGGCATATCTCTTGTAGTTTGTCGACATTCTTGAGCAATAATTTACATGAGTTTCCCTCGAAAGAAAATTTACCACCATTAGTATACTTTTTTTCAACATTACATTGTTGAGCCCATTTTTTAGCAATATCAGGATTACATTCATGTAAATGAGTATAAAGTTTGTTAACGCAACCTAGTAAAAGGTGCAGCTCTGGGGGGGGCATAACATCTAGAATCAATATATCATCGCCAGAACAATACAAGGGAGGGTGAATGCAATTTTTAAAGTATTTAGCATTCTTTTTGACACTTCCTTTATTGTACCAGTTGTTATAATTTTGAAGACAGCTTTCGGTCGTTCTTAAATTACCACACGAAGCTAAATTATCTTTGCTAACATCACACCAAATACACGGATAATAACTTGCATTACTTGACAAACCAGTAATTATGTTTGAAAGTTTCAAATCAGTTGTTATTGTTGCGGGATATTCATTTAAACATTCATTTATTTTCAACTTTGACCAAATATTTGCAACATTATTGTAATTTTCTTGAATATTGGGAGCAAGAGCAATAATAAATATCTTTTTTACTCCGGTGTCCTTCCACTTGTTAATAATTTTTAATGTCTCATTTTTTGATTGAACAGATACAGTAAATTTCAAAGACTCTCCGCCACCGTCAATACCGAAATTCAAGTGAAAATTAAAAATATCTCGTATTTCCATGACATGTTGAATGAATAACATTAAATTAATACACATAACAGCAGAGCTTGGATTTTTAGAAACTACTCCTTTTTTTGTAGCTTCGAAGTCAAAAGAATGAACAGCAAAAAATTCGTCTAATTTGTGGGAATTTTTTACCACTTTTTTACGACAGTGAGGTTCAATAACACTTTTTAGAGTAATCTTTTCTCTAATAAATTTGGAAAATTTAAGTACATGTCGATCAGAAACATTCAAATCGCTCTGTAGTTCACAAAAATCATCAAAAGAAATCTGACGTACTTGATTTTTTTCTTTCGGATTAACTGTAACATTTAGTGAGTTACCATGCTGCTGCGAGAGGGATAATTCAATGTTTGTATTTCCAGCTTGCGCTTTTGGATTTAATTTCTTCTTCATAATTATTTGTTTTTTTAATAATCGAGAAGTCAAATGTTCAGTTTCTTTTTCATTGTTCAAATTTTGTTGAACATTATTGATCAATGTGGTTGAGTTGCATTTGTGACTAATGCCTCTACCTATCAAAGTTAAACACTTCGAGCATATCCTTTTGGAATCTTTTGATTTTTTTTTCTTATTAGCATTCAAAGCGTCACAATTTCCTTGTTTTGCTCTTATTTCATCACATAAAGTACACTCACATTCATACCCAGAATTTGATGCACGAGTTTTCATGTTATCGCGATACTTCGAATAATCTGGCATTTTAAAAGCGCTCCGTAAATCTGGATTTGCACTAGCTCTTTTAATTCCCAATCGGCATGCATTGCAAACTGCAGCTGGTAATCTTGAATCTCCTATATCGAAATCGGGAAACAATGTTTTTATTCCACTTCCTATGCTGCCTGTAGTTTTAAAATACTGATTTTTGGGTTTTATCTTACAAATCAAACATATGCTAAGGCGATTTTGTTCGTGAGTTCTGGAAAATTTATGCAATAAATCCATGATATAATTATATATATTATTATAATATTCTATAATATTCAAATGATAACGAAAAACTAGACTCAACTTTGCAAGAAATCAAGCAATTCTAAATATTGACAAGTACTTGTCAATATTAACCCATAGTTATTATTCTTACTTATAACCATGACGACATAAAAATAAAGTTTGTGAGATTTGATAAAAATATATAATTTGAATTTAATTTGAATTAGTGACGCAAATGTCCTTGTTTTTTTGTATTTATTGCATTAAATATTTGTTTATCCCCGGAAACAGGACTTTTTCATTCAAACCCATTTAAAAAAAAATTGATTACGTAAACTGATTTTAAAAACTGTTGGTATATATTCTAAATACATTAAAGGACAATATAAAACTTGAATTTTGAAGTGTCATCAACATTTTATTTAAATCGCCTCGGGAGCACCGTGATATAGGCTCCATGGTTAAATGGCCCATAAAAACAAACAAAGATGCAAAGAGTTTAGCTCAAAAAAGCAACACAAAAAATATATTCAACATAATATGAGAAATATTTATATACGAATAAAATTGATTTTTATGAAAGTGACTGATGGCTCATTGGTTATGCTTGACAAGCGAAAGACCCGAGTTTAAACCTCGGCTGGGTCAGAACTAATCATTAGTGACTGCTTTTTCACTATGACAATTAGTGAAATATGACTTATAATTAGTTATTTTAAGAGAGATCATTCTCCCGCATGAATTTAACGATATCAGTCAATTTTTGTACTTTCTTTTCGCTTCGTTCTATAATATTTAAAGCTACACTTTTATCTTCTGTTAACCTGAATTCATCAATATCTTTTTTATAAAACATTATGATTTTTTTGCGATAATACTCTTTTGGAGTTAAAAAATTAGGATTTTCAGCATTTTAAACATAAATTCTTTTGTAAATTTTTCGTTTACGTGGCAAAGTAATATTATATTTTTCAATGAGGTTGTTACAGTTCATCCAAATTTTAACAAATTTCTTATCGCGGGAAGCTTGCAATTTGTTTTTTAATAAAATGTAGCAACTTTTGCAGTGATTTTTAGTATTTTTAGCATGATATAGAACAGACCTTGTTGTGTGGATTGTGATTTATACCTTAATTATAGTTTGTATATATAAAAAATATTTACCTTTCTTGAAAATCCATGAACAATCGAAAGTAATTTGTCTTGTTTTTTCTTTAATTGGGTAAATTTAAAAATAAAATCATTGTGAAGTAAAGGCGTATAAGTTCTGTAAGTTATTAATTGAGGCAACCTAAAAAATAAATCAATATTAATTTAAACACTTTTTAATTAATTTTTTTAATTTACTCAAAAACTGCCTTTAAAAATTCAGAATCATTTTCCAATGCATTTATTTTTGTTCCCATTGCCGTCTCTGTAAAAATAAAACGTATCAGTTTAATATAAAATAAAATTAAAAACAAAAATTTCGCATTTGTAAATATGATGTTTAAAAATACAATACTACAATACGAATTTTTTAAGTATAAAAAATATTTTTCGCCCTAGTTTAAAACCTGGTATGATATTAATACTGTATTATATCATAATAAAAATAATGTTAACATTTTAGTAATTTACTAATATTAAAACTCATCCAGAACTTTAGTATTTTGCCAAGAGATCAATAAATTATTTGAATGTAGAAAACAAATTTAAATAGGTATTTTTTGAAAAAAAAATTTTACATCAAAAATTTTCAATCTAAGGTAATCTCAAACATGTTGTATTCAGGTTGGGGCAAGGCCAAAACCTTTACCTCTAGTAGGTTTAGGTTTTTCCTAGGTGGCGAATTTCGTAACCTTTCACAATAAGATAGTTTGAATGACATACACAAAAATAAGGCTTTAAAACTAAAACACTAAGCAACTACACCAGTGGCGGCACCAAATTTATGAGTTTATAATGACACTAAATTAACAAGTTCTGTGCAAGCAGAATTTAAATTGACAACTTTCAAAATTTATTTTATTTTTTATTATTTTGGGAAAATTAATTAAAAATTAAAATGGTATAAAATCAGGCTACAGGGGAGCTACAGCAAAGACTATCCTTTTTTGGCCAACTTCTATTTAAATTCTGATTACGCATAACTTGTTGATTTAGTGTCATTATAAACTCATATAAATTTGGTGTAGGTTTCATGTCCAATAACCAAGATATCGGTATACCCAAAATCCACTAGCCGAACCAACTACACTAATCCAAGTTAATCCTAAATCCTCAAATATTATTTCAGTAGGTACTTACCACAAATAAAATCCAACGAGCAACGAGCTAGTAGATTGGTAACTTCGAAATACTCTCCATTGGATTTTTCAGATAACAATTTTACTAATGTTTGCGATTTTTCATTGAAAATGTCCTGGAAGTCATCAAGGATAGCAAAATGGAATGTTGGTGTGAGGATTTTTCTGCGGGAACGCCATATTGAAATATCTAAAAAAAAGTTTATTTGAAATGAGGAGCAGCAAAATAAATTTTAAGTGTACCTAATTAGTGGCGAACCTTTAAATTTTTGAATGAGTAGACAAATATAGGCTTATACAAGGTGTCCCGTATCATTATGTTCAAATTTTGGGAGCATAAAGTAGACTTATTTTTAGGAAGAAAACCCGCAAAACTTGTATATCCATTTTTATTTGATTTAAAGTTACAGGCCTTTGAATTATTGGTAAATAATTAATAATCATAATTTATTCTTAAAGTAAATAAAAAATGATTTTATTTAAGAAAAGGTCAATTAATATTATTTCTAAAATGTCCACCTCCTTGTTGAATGCAGGCTTGTGCCCGTAAGCCAACAGATAAAATAGTTATCCGTATTTGGTGCTTGTTTTGTCGTAATTGTTTGGCAGCCTGCTGAATACGTTCCAATAATTATTCTCTTGTATTTGAAACTTGGACGTAGTTTAAATCTTTCATTAACCCTCATAAATAAAAATCAAGGGAATTGTGATCGGGTGATCTAGGTGGCCAGGCAACAAGACCACCTTGACCAATCCATCTTGGATAGTTGACAGTAACCCAATTTCGCACAGCAATTCCGAAATGTGGTGGCGACAGTCACGGCTTAATTTTAATTTCTGAAGAACAGTCCTCTGGACAGATGAAGCTACATTTACAAGGAGAAACTTGCAATTATTTGCCAATATTTCAAAGGCCTGTAACTTTGAAACAAATAAAAATTTATATACAAGTTTTGCGGGTTTTCTTCCTGAAAATAAGTCTACTTTATGCTCTCAAAATTTGAACATAACGATACGGGACACCTTGTATATAATTAAGGGGTATAAAATCGGGTACTTAAATATTTAAGTTAATCTTCTACTTCACTTATTTTTTTTATGGACTGAGTAATATTTAATAATTTAATTTAATAATAAGGCTTAACGCATAGGCATTGTCTATTATATGAATAAACGCAATAAAAGAATCAGCCAGCCAAGTAAAGTCAAGTTGAGTTGTCAAAATTCGTAGTTAAAAATGCAATTATTTTGGCTTTGGTGGTGAGTAAATGAGTAAAATCATATAAAAAAGTAGTTAAATATAGGTGACTACAGCCTAGGAGAGACAAAGTAATCCTGGCGGATAATAATCTTAGCTTTAAAAAGAATTTATATAAAACAAATTAAAATTTTATGAGAATACACGTAAATGTTGTCCAATCATTGGACTCCAATGGTGAATGGGTATTTTGTTAAAGCCAATGGACGTTAATATGTGTAGTGGTTAATAATAATTATATTTTGTCCAGGACTATTAATGATCAGTAACTTGCAAATTGAAAGAAGAAAAAGTTTCGTGATTATTGCTTTTCTTTTTTAAACCAAAATGATGCTATTTTCCAAGACAAAAAAATAACTACTAGATTTTTCACAAAAAGTTTGAACCTAACAGCAAATAATTTTTATTTTGTTTTTTTATTTCCCCCTTATTTTTAAAATTTCAAGAATTTTTGATCTGATTAGCTGAAAATAATGTGTTATTAATATTTGTAAAACCAAAAACGTTACTTTTTTACTCCAAAATAGTATATTACACTACAAGGGCAGAAAGTGTGAGATTCCTGCATGGGCATCATGGCGCGCAGTTCAGGGCTCTCACACTTTCTGCCCGTGTAGTGTATACTATTTTTCTTACTACCTCAGCCGAAAATACAACCCGGCCGAAAATACGGGAAAAAATTAAATGTGTATTTATGTACCTATCTCCAAGAGCTTGATAAATAAATAACAGTAGGCCGTGAATTCAGCGGTGCCAATACAGTAAAAATAAAAGGTTGTATTTTAATTAACAAATTACTACTTTATAACAAATAAAAGTACCATTAAACACTTAAAACAACATAAAAAGTAAAAAAGTAAAAACATAAATTGTTTATTTGTTATAATTGCAAAATTATGGTTTAAAACTGTCATATTTTTGAGTTTCTCATGTTGGCAGTGCGAAATTTAAATGTTAAGCACACGGCTAAAAAATTTTTACTCCCGCTATTAGAGTGTGCGCGTAAACGTAAACTTTCTGCCGTGGAATCAGGGACGAAACAACGTATTTTGAGTCGAGGTAGTAAGAAAATGTAATTTTTCTGCCATTGAGGCATTTGGCATAATTTCATCGAAATGAAGTTTTGCCCTTAAAAGCTCTTTTACTTTAGAATCTGATATTATTTTTGGCATAGTTATCTTTTTTATATCGATGTTATATAATACTTAACAAGTAAATTATCAATAATAATTACTGTCAATTTGACAGTGTCAGAGTATTTAATTAAGGTCTTCAGAAAAATTACCAACTTAATATCTAAACAAAAATGAGCTGTAGGTATACCTAAAATTCCCCATAAATAGGGAATATTTTCTTAATCTGACATCACTGCCAGATAGGTCTATTCATAGCCATTATATAGCCCAAAGGGTTAGCCTGTAGCGGTCTGCAATTTTTGAGAACCAAAAAAGACGTAGAAATAGCCCAATCTGGCAACACTGCTTCGAACGACACGGTGTGGAACGTTTTTGATTTGTATAACAAATGCTGCAAAGTGTTTTTTTTTTGGCGAGAGCAATTAAAATTTAAAAATCCATAGAAATTTGTCCAAAAAGTGGCTAGGTCGTATGAAAAATCACTAGATTTTTTTTTATGTATACTTAATAACTATAATAATAAAGAAAAATATTAAAAATTTTAAAATTGTTCCTAATGCTTTTATTTCTTTTAAGAATGTAATTTAAAAGAGATCTGGCTATGAAAATTTCAAAAAATCACTAGAATTGGGGTATTTAACAAAAGGTTTTACTAAATCACTAGATTCGTTCAACATTCGATAGATCTAGTGGAATTTAACTAGACCTGGCATTCTTAGGCGAGCTTCAAGTGACGTATATTAGTGCTGCAACTGTACAACTTGGAAAGCACTGCTGTCATCTGCTCACAATTCAGGGCTGTCTCATTTTATTTGTTGTAAACAAAATATAGTATAGTAAAGTTATTTACTATAACAATGGTTAAAACGAACTTATTCAACTTATTACATGACACTCAAAAATCATGTACTATATAATTATCCAATAAGTTTATTACTAGTAAAAATTATTCATATGTTTAATTTTTGTATAGCAAACGTCATTACCGTGCCTTGTTCGCATTCGAAAAACAACAACATATTATTTTCTTACATATATTTACAAACAGGCCCGTTCCTGGGGTGTCTGGCGCCTGCGTGCAGCATTCGTTGGTGCGCCCCTTTTATATTTAAATATAATACATTAAATATTTGAATTTTAAGCCGTAAAATATATATCTTGCAACAAACTGGCAATATGTAATTGAAAATGTAAAAAAACCGCTTAAATTAAGTATAAAAAATATTTATTAAATTACCAAACAAACAAGTAATACTTTAAGGGCATCTATTTTTTCGAAAAAAAAATCGAAAAAACACGTTGCTAAGTAATATTTTAACAAGCATGAGTGCTGGTGGCAATAAAAATCCGAGTCGAATACGAGGATTTTTGCACCTTCAAGAATGCATTTTGATAAAAAATATTACTTAGCATTGTGTTTTAACGATTTTTTTCATAGGAAAAGTTAGATGCCCGAATGGTATTTGACAAGACTATTTTATGAGTAACAGTTAACAATTAAAATATAAATTGTAATTCTTGGTGTCATACAGTTTTTCCACATAGAAACCATTTGTAGTTCAAAATTGCGCGTTTGTGATTGGTGGAAATTAAGACGAGGGAAATAGTCAGTGATAAAAATACTCTAAAGAAAAAAAAAACAATCTAAACAATATAATAACTACAACTGGTTTTTAGTGACGTACTCTCTAAAAATGACTAGTTTTCAAAGTAAAAAAGCAGTCACTAATAACTTTAGTCCACAGCTATTTGTATCCTGGGCATTTAACAGCTTATTATTATGTAAAATTGTCCCCTGAATCAGAAAATACCGTCAAAAATTATAAAAGTAAAGCAGTTTTAAGATATAGTCAATACCATGGTATTGACTATATGCATATTATATGGAAAATTTACTAAATCTCAAAAACGTTCTACTTTTATAACTTTTGACATTTTCGGATTCAGCGGACAATTTTACATAGGAGTTGACTGTTAAATATCCGGGATACAAATTACTATTGACAATAATTATTAGTCGCTGCTTTTTCGCTATTGCAATTAGACTAATTGAATTAGTCATTTTTGACTAATTCTATTTTAGAGAGTTACTACTGTTAAACTTTGCTACTGCAACTATCAAACAAATACTAAAGATAATATGACCATTTTTCTTCTTTTATTTTGATCCTCATATCAAAACAAAATAAGCAGCCAATATCAAAGCGGCAAAAGGCGCTTTATAGCGACCGAAAAAAAGAGCGGCCGACGCAAAAAAGGCAGAAACCTTTATCCAATGTATGTTTAAGTATCATATGCAAGAAAGTTTATCGTTACAAAGTACTGATTGAGTCTTTGATTTTGCGCCCCCGAAATGTTGCGCCTGCGTGCGGGCACGCACTGCACGCTCGCCAGGAACGGGCCTGTTTACAAATTAAATCTTGCAATATCATGTCTAACACAGACGAAGAAAATACAAAATAATACAAAGCAAGCAAGAAATGTTAACTTTTCTTTTAATGCCGTTTAAACTTTGTTCACGCCCATGAGCGTCATTGCCGTGGCTACTTAAAATGTGTCTAATTTCCTATTCAAATACGCGATACATTCGGAAAATGCCGGAAGTTTTCGAACGTCTGATATGGAAATATCCTGCCTGTCTAACGTCCACTAGCATATGTCAAACCATAAAGTTGTGACGTGCGCCGAATGAAAACGAAAACGTCTAAGTCCGTCATTGTCGGAGTGAGTATTATTTCAAATTTTTTTATTTACATTAATACAAAGGAGTCTTTCGTTAACAAAAAGCAAATGGTAACTTGAAAATTCCATTACATTTTCGAATAAACATTGTAAAACACTCTAACCTTAAAATCATCATTACCGTGCTCGTCATTGTCGTGTCCCTTACATGTAACCAATTAAAAATATTTCATTTCAGTGGGATATTAATTAAAATGACAAAACCACGAAACAAGTTGACCAACGAAGCTAAAAGGCAAGCAGAACGTGGGTTCAACTTTCTAAAAAAGACAAAAAAAAATTACGTTTTTAGTCTTCATGTCTATGTTCATGAGTGGAAAAGTCCTAAAAGTGCAAAATTAATAAGATTTGCGGTTTATTTATGTGTTAACGAAAATAGACAGTTTTAAAATATTCACCCATATGTCATTCCATTTATAAAAGTGATATTAGAACGGTCATATTCCGTAATGTAAGTAGAAAAAAAATTGTTCAATTTCTTTGAACTCTTGTAATACATTGCTGCCGGGTTGTCTATAAAAATTTGGCCGCAATTACCAATAATTAATATTTTTGTAATTAATTTTTGTCAATCAATTCCAACTATTTCGCGAGTTCTTAGCATGCGAGAAATACCGTGCTCAATACCATTAACATGTATTCATTTATCACGGCATTGAATAAAGTCTATAATTCCCACAAGGCCTTGCAATTGTTTAAATCTTCATTTCACCATTGGCGGCCTGTCAGGAGAGGCAGGTGAGGCAGTGCCTCATCATAGAGAATTAAAAAATTAAGTATAATTTAAATATTTTACTTTCTAAGTTGTCAAATAGTCAATAAAATTGATTGATTTTATACGTGGAATACCCAGCAACATTTAAATTATTTGAATTTGAAACAACCGCAATTTAAACTAATATATTATTTTAAATTGCGGTCGTTTCAAATTTAAATAATTTAAATGTTGTTTCTATTAAATCGATTTATTATAAAAAAATAATACCATTTATTATTGAATTTTGAAAAACGTGTGAAGTATAATGTATCTAAAATTCCGCATCAGTGTTGCCACAACACCTGCTTATTTCCTTGGATGTATATTATATATATATATATAATATATGTATATATTTATAGCTAGATGATTGGCTCAGAAGCATGCCTGAACTAATTTAGACTCACGATTGGCGTTAGCCTTATTGTCTCGTTCTATTAAAATACGATATCATAGTTGTCTCCTTCTCTCGTATTAGAGTCAATCCAAATGAAAACACCAAAAATGAATTTAAAAGTGCGCTGCATGATTTTTTATTGTAATGAAAAAATTTGAGGATGATCTTTTAGGTGTCAAATATAAAAATCCTTTGCCGTTTTAATTTTTTGTTGCTTTACTTTTATTTGGCACCCCTTAGAAGTCTGAAATAGTGTCAATTTCTTACTCTCTTATAAGAGGCTAAAACTTTTTTTCTGTGGCAATTATTAAAATGATTGTAATTTTATTTTACTGCCTAGTAAGTATGTTTTTAATATTAATTATTATTATTTAATTAGTTCATCTCATAAAAGAATGGTAAAGCACTAAAGATTTGTAATAATTTTCCAATTTTTGTGATTTTTGTCTGGCTCCTGTGCCTATTCTACTAAATCTAGAAGGTTCATTTTTTTTTTAGGTATAAAGTACTTATACAATAGAAATTGTAACTAATATTTTAAGTTTCTAGATTTTCAATTTCTTTATTAAAAAAATTATTGAAAATTGATAATTCTCAAAATTAGCCAATTGTGCCCTCAGAAATCATTATGTTGAGGAAAAAATAAAAATCTGAAACTTTCAGGAAATGTAGTCCCCACCTTCATCTTTTCAGTCCAGTTAGTCTTGTTTTGTTATTTTTATCCATGTAAAAGATATAATAATTTTTTTAATGCCAGTTAAGAAGCGATATTGTTAGTTTTATTTATAATTTAAAATTTAGATGGCTTTGACTTTGTCAATTCATGTTTGGTGGAGAAATGTCAGAATGCGAAAAATATTTCATAAATATTATTTGTGCGTATTTCTTTGGTAAATTTTGTATATATTTAAAAAGTTTTGCGTATAACATAATATGACATATTATGTTATATGCAAAACTTTTTAAAGTCACCAAAGGAATACCACAAATAATAATTATGAAATATTTTTGATAGTTCAGCCATTCCACGCTACTCGGGAATTTTTGTAGCGTCCGTTACAATAAAAAATTGTGAGTAAAACTACCGTAACTATTATGCTTATAAGTTTAAGCCTAATTATTACAAGCATAATAAACATGTTTGCAATATTAACTATTGGAAAGGTATTTCATTTAATTAGGGTAGCATTTTATCACAATTTTTTATTGTAACGGACGCTACAAAAATTTCCGAGTAGCGTGGAATGGCTGAACTATCAAAAATATTTCATAATTATTATTTATTCCTTTGGTGACTTTAAAAAGTTTTGTATATAACATAATATGACATATTATGTTATATACAAAATTTACCAAAGAAATACGCACAAATAATATTTATGAAATATTTTTCGCAGTTCTGACATTTCTCCACCAAACATGAATTGACAAAGTCAAAGCCATCTAAATTTTAAATTATAAATAAAACTAACAATATCGCTTCTTAACTGGCATTAAAAAAATTATTATATCTTTTACATGGATAAAAATAACAAAACAAGACTAACTGGACTGAAAGGATGAAGGTGGGGACTACATTTCCTGAAAGTTACCTAAAGGATCATACTCAAATTTTTTCATCAAAATAAAAAATCACGCAGCGCACCCCATTTGGTGTTTTTATTTGGAATGACTCATTAGCATACGCGAGGCAGGCACGCCTACATCCAAGGAAATAAGCAGGTGTTGTGGCAACACTGATGCGGAATTTTAGATAAATTATACTTCACACGTTTTTCAAAATTCAATAATAAATGGTATTATTTTTTTATAATAAATCGATTTAATAGAAATTATATTTCTATTCTAAAATAAACATATTTTAACACTATCGCCATCTTGTAGCCGTCACAGTAACCAATAAAATAAATACAGAACAAATCTGTGGTTATTTACGCAATATTGCAATATTCTTTTTCTATGAGTTTGTCTATTTTATGATTCTTTTGTAAGTGGTTTAGTTAATTGAACTTGGTGATTTATGTGAATTTAGTCATTATGGATATTACGGTGAGAAATTGTACCGATATTGTTGACCTTCACGTGGGTCTTGCTGAACAATGAAATATTAATTAAACAAAAATGAGGTTTATTTAAAATAAACGTCATTTTTACAATAAAATATATTTCATTGTCAAAGTAGAGGATTCCTTCCCCACCACAGTCTAAGTTTTTTACTTAGTTTTAAGTATAGGTTGTGAACTGCGACGTCAGTTTTTTTAAGTTGTATTTAAAAAAATTTCTTCGCCTTTAAATGAGGGCGAAACCCTGCCTCTGCCTCACCAAAATGAAATGTCACGGGCCGCCACTGCATTTCACTGTTAAGTGATTTGAATACAGTCAACATTTTTTCGTTTGCAGTGTTACACTAAAGATAAAATACTTTAAAAAATGGTGCATGCTCTAAAAAATTCTTTGAACTTAAGTATTTCGTTTTTCCCAAATAGTGTAGATTTCCCTTAGTGTATATATACACAGTATACAATACAATATACATGTATATGTATATATATATATGTATATATACACATTGTATTGGCTATATATAGCCAACTAAATAGCTAATTATATAGCCAACTATATAGCTAATTATTTTTGACATAATTACCAGGTTGTAGAAACAGTCCCGTTCCAGCCCAGGGAATAAAAAATCTATATAACAGACTTTTTTCAAAGCTGTTGTTTAGAACTATCTGAAATCAAGAAAATGTTTTTCAACATAATTTATATGATAAAACAAACAATTTATTAACATTTTTGACCCAACATTCATTTTTACACAAATAAATATTCTTTTGATGTTATAAAATAAATTCGTTAGTAACAAATTGTTACTAACAATGCTTTTTCATGCGCACTATTTGATACAGAGAAAACTACGGATTATAGATAAAATAGTTTAAATGACTGCTTATGCAGAATGTTAATAGAAGGCTCTTTAATAATTAAATAATTATTACTTAATTAAGTAGGAAAAGTTGATTTTATTGGAATAGAATATTTATTCATAGTCATTTATGCCCTAAATTAGGGGACCTTTTGGACGTTGGGGGACACCTTGTGTCGGGGAATATTTGTTTTAGCGGGGGATAATTTCCCTTAGTGGGGGACAAATGGTCACTAATCTTAAACAAATCTTGCAAATTCTTTTCTATTTATTATGTTTTAGATTACCATTAAAAATATTTGGCAAATGTACAAAAAAAAAACTTACCTCTACGTGTTCTGCTTTCATAACATGAATTATAGGATATTTGCCCATCCATGTTCTAAACAATGGTTTATACATATCACATCTTTTTCTAAGGACTTTCCAAAAATCTACAAAAAAATATTTGATTTAAAAATAAAAAACCTAAAATATTGATTTAAATTAAATACCTTTTCTTTCTGCCATTAAAAACAACCAGGCGCAGCCCACAATAGGATACCATTTTGGTCCTGGAAGCTGATCGATAACTTCAGCAATTTTTCTTCTGTGCTTCAATTTTTCTATTTCCTTTTTGATTGGATCGCTGATAAAATGAAGAAGAAAACCGATCAACAGACTTGTTAGTATAAATGTTATAAGATCCATTCTAGAAAAATTAGTAGTATTTTTTATCAAATTTACCAAAATTAATTGGCGCGCCAAACACTAACTAAATTATACGTTGAATATTGGATAAATAATAATGTTATCAACATTATTTGTTTTAAGTACCCAAGTCAAAGTTGAGATTTTATTACAGTCTTTTCCAGGGGCGGATACAGGATGGGGGACCGCCCCCCCAAAGCATCAAATTTTTTTATTACAAATTTACTAAATACGTATAACGACCTCATACACTGAAAAAAATAAGCTGTTGAAACAACAAAAAAAATATTAATTCAACTCTTTATGCACTTTAAATACAAGCAATTGTTTTTGCACGTTTACTTAACCATCTAAAAATGTGAAATTGTATTGTTTAATTGAACAACAAATAACAGTCAAATGAACAAAATGAGAATATTTGTTCTATAGAATTATATAGATTATAATCTGCTAATTTGGTTAATTTAACATTCTTAGGGTGTTAAGGTAATTTTCTTGAAATGTCCAGGTAACCTTTTTAGCATATTCACTTAACACCAATAAAATGTTAAATTAAAATAATTTGCGCTAATGTTCCAAAACGGTTGGGTTAACATTCTGAAAATGTAAAAGTAAAGTTCTATATAAAGAGAAAGAATTGAACCCTCACCTCGCCAGAGTTTTTGTTTTGAGTGCGTTCCACTTACTATAAATACCGACAGACAGCTGTTTCGACCTATATTGGGGGTCTTATCAGTGTCTGGTAATTTGGTGTAGTGGAAGTTCCACTGTGGAACACACCCAAAACAAACGACTACCTGAGCTTATATACCTTATATCGTAAGCCAACTGTGGCGAGATGTAAGAACACGTGATCAACACCGTCTAATGACGTGGCGTGGGTGTTCGAAGCGCCCTTCACGGCAATTTTATGAATTCAAATTTAACATTTTAAAGTATCATTTACAATTTGTTAAATGAGCAAATTTAATGTTTTGGATTAAAGAGAAACTAAACGTTAATTTAATACTTTTTTTACGTAATCCTAAAAATTTCAGTATTTGATTCAACAATTCCAGCTATCAAATCAAAATAGGATAAACATCACAGACCAACAGGTCTGTGATAAACATTTTAATTCAAAAAATTAGTTTATGTTAAATCAATATTTTAAATGTCAATTGAACAAATAAACTTTGACAAACTCTGACTATTGCTTTGACACCAAAATATAGATTAATCCACAATCCACACAACAAGGTCTGTTCTATCTCATGCTAAAAATACTAAAAATCACTGCAACACTGCACAGTTTAACGGCGGCCATTTTTGTTGTTGTAATGCTAGATAGAAAATGTAATGTTTTTTACTTACATAATATTATTATAATAATATTATGTAAGTAAAAAACATATATATATACACCGAAAAAAATAATGTAGTTGAGTTAACGTTTACCTGAATGTCATTTTTGAAAATGTTGTTTCATCAAAAACCTATTGGATTAATCCACAATCCACACAACAAGATCTGTTCTATCTCGTACTAAAAATACAAAAAATCACTGCAACACTGCACAGTTTAACGGCGGCCATTTTTGCTGTTTACAAGTCTTGTGCTTTGGGTTTGTGCTCTGTTTATACAGATTAATAATCGTTTTAAACGTTGTGTTTTTCATAGTAAGCCTTAAAAGAGTCCTTAAAGTGCTAAGAACAACCATTTTACTCCTCTATTGTAAAAAATAAACTTTATTTTGAACATTTTCAAAAATGACATTCAGGTAAACGTTAACTCAACTACCTACATTATTTTTTTCGGTGTATAATAATATTATGCAAGTAAAAAACATTACATTTTCTATCTAGCATTACAAGTTAGCAGTGGCGGCTGGTGGATTTTGGGTATAACGATACCTCAATTATTAAAGTGTATTCAAATCCAAGCTGGACTAAACAACAACGTCCAGACGCATGATAACTCGTTCTTATTGGTCGATTCTGATGGTGTGACTCGGATTGTGAGTTCTTATTGGTCGATTCGGAGGATTGTGTTTACATTTAGTCCAGCTTGGATTTGAATAGACTTTAGATATGGGACCCACACCACCAAATATTTCTTTTCAAAGAAATATAAAAATTTAAAATGATACAAAATCTGTATTATTTGGATTTTTTGAATAAAATTTGAAATTTTTTGATAAATTAGGTAAATAATAAATTGCACCAATTAAATTTATATTATATTTATTACGGCCGAGCAAAAAGTTATCTTTTTTTTTTATCAAACTTCAATTAAAATTCTGCTTGCGAGGAACTTGTTTATTTAATGTCATTATAAACTTATATAAATTTGGTGTGGGTCCCATATCTAATAATTGAGATATCGGTATACCCAAAATCCACCAGCCGCCACTGCACGTTAGTGTTAGCATGCGTAATAGCAACAATATATTTTAAATTCGGCCATTAGTTGTTATTTGGCATGCTAGTCTTATGACGACTATTATAGTGCATGGTATAACAGTACCATAACTATAGTGCACTCTATTGAGAGTCACGTGGACAATTTTCAAATTGTTTTAATTGACTTGTTTAACGTTTTTAAAAGAAGAATCACCTAACCGAGGCCAACAAATACAGAAAGAAGAAGAAGAAGAATCACAATTTGTTTATCCTGTAAAAATCGCACCACTGTTACTAAAAATTGCTGCTAGATCTTGAAAATCAAGGGCATCTAAAAAAATTATAATTATAGATAAAATAATTATAATTATACATGAAATCTGTGCAAATACTAAAATGTATTAATTTTTATTATTAAACAAAACAAACAATTGTAGATTACGAGACAAAGCAATTGTGCGAAGCACAAAAAGTTCTCCTCCGTATATCATATACTATTTTATCTTCTAACAAAACAAAACAAAAATAATTTAATATAATTGACATTTGTACCTACTATCAGCGGCGTAACTAGAAAAAGTGCCGCCCGGGGCAGCAGTGGCTGTCGCCCTCATGTTTTTTTTTTGGGGGGGGAAGAGAGGTTAGGTTAGGAGTCAGTTTTGAGGACCGTACGCAAAATTATTGGTAACTTATGTCGGCGGTAGACTGATTACTCATCAAAGGTACAATACCGGTCTTGTTTCTATTTTTTGCTAGCTTTATTTGATTTGGAATATTTTGGGAGTAATTGTATAAATCTCAAATCTATTGGAATTTGAATTATATTATTTCGAAAGAGAATATTTAATTATCAAATATTTTTTTTATTTTTATATTCTGTCTTCCAGTTTTTTTCGCATTTTCTCTCACGATTTTTGCCGCCCCAAGAAGTGCCGCCCGGGGCGGACCGCCCCCCCCCGCCCCCCCCCTAGTTACGCTACTGCCTACTATTTTTTTAAGCATTTAATTTAATAATTTTTCAAGATTCTGTTACATTATTTTTAGGTTGTAAAGAGTCTTTCTATAAACTTATGAGTCTTATAATCACGGTGTGCCTGAACGAAGTTAGGTCACATAAAAATGCCAATATTATAAAAATCGGTGTACAAATGTGTACTCTGTCAAAGGTAGACATTAAGATGAACAAAAATTAAAAAAAAAAAAAGAATTTTCAAAAAATTCGAAAAGAGGAGCAGCTAGGATTTTGGTAAATATCATTTTAAAGTTAGCAAAGGGTCCCGAACAAGAAACTGCAATCAATAAAAATCGGTGTACAAATGTGTACTCTGGCAAAGGTAGAATTTGCGATAAACAAATAATTTAAAAAAAAATATTTTTTAACAAATTTAAAGAAAAGCAGTTAGAATTTTGGTAAATATCGTTTTTAAATCTCCAAAGAGTGCCGATCAAAAAACTTTAACCAGTTTTTCGTTCAAAATTGAAAACTTCTAAAAAGCCTAAATTAAACAACATTTTAAATATTCTCTAAGCGTTTAATTTTATTAAAAATCTATTTTTTTAATAAAAGGTTAATAAAGCCGGTTTTCCACTAAACGAACAGTTGAGTGTGGGTTTTGTTTGTATTTTTAAAAACTTGCAAATCAAAAACAAAACTGAAACAAACCCGAAACTCTTGTTTCCATCAAGCATACTAAGTTTTGTTCGAGTTTTGTTTTTGTTTTCGGTCCTTTTCCACTAGTAGTCGTGATTATGTCAGAACACACTTTTTCAGTATCAACCAACATGTTTAGAGAAAAAGATTTTTTATTTGTCGCCAAATCAATCCGTTAAACGTCATATAAAAACGGATGCATGAAAATTAGAACATTTCTTATCGGACGATTTTATTGAAAAACGTACAAACGGATACATGAAAATTAAGCTTTAAAATTAATATTAAGGGCTCAAATTTTCACCAAATTTTTTTTTGTCATTCTAAATGACATTCTCGATATATTTAAAAAAAAATAGTCAATTTTTTGGCTCAGTCTAATATATATATACCTATGTATATGTGTATCTATTAAACTTATCCAGCGTTACAAAACAAATTCTCTATCCTCTATCTATAAAATAGTATATTATAGACCAGGCGGAGAAAGCTCATATTATAGCAGAGCACACATTTCAGATGTAGATTGTGTGCGAGGTAATTAATAAGCTTTCGCCGCCGTGTTTTATATACTATTTTTTTCAAGCTCTAAATTTCAATATTTTTTTGAAATTTTGTAACCTCATTTTTAGGTTAGGTTTAACTGTCAGACGACAAAATGTCACCATTATTGTTCGGCGGTCAATAATAATTTGACTTTTGAACTAGTAGTCACTATATTATTGTACTAGTTCAAAAGTCAAATTATTATTGACCGCCGAACAATAATGGTGACATTTTGTCGTCTGACAGTTAAACCTAACCTAAAAATGAGGTTACAAAATTTTAAAAAACTACATTGTAGTATTTCTATATAGACTTATGAGGAATATAATATGAATATTATTATACACTTGGAAAAAAATATGTTTCTTACTTACCTACAAATTTAGTATGAAATTCGTATCCAGACTAACAAAATAAAATAAAAGTCGAAAAACCGGCTTAAGAATGCCATTTTGTAACCTGATAAACGTAGAAATATCTAAAAAAATGGGGATACATCTGTTTTGCGTGTTCTGCCAAAATCATGAATTTACGCTTTTGCTTTATTAAAAATAAGCGATTTTTGGCTCACCCTGTATATATCAAATTATGTCAACAGTATTAAAAAGTATTCTTTAAGTCTCCTCAATAATATACTCTAATTTTATAAAAATCGGTGTACAAATGTGTACTCCGTCAAAGGTAGACTTTGAAATAAACAAAAATTTAAAAAAAAATCATGAATTTTCAAAAAAATTCGAAAAGAAGCAGCTAGGATTTTGGTAAATATCATTTTTAAGTAAGCAAAGGGTCCCGAACAAGAAACTGCAATCAGTTTTTGGCGGCATTTTTATGTGACTTAAACTTCGTTCAGGCAACAGTGTAATAGGAACATTATTGTACCCTTTAAAAAATGGTTATTATTGTAGTACCTAATACAATAACAAATAATTTTTAAGGGTAACGTTAAGGCTTAGTATACAATTTTTATTTATTACTACTACTACTACTACTCCTATTATTTTTTTGTGTTTTTTCATTATAAAAAAAGAAAAAAATTATAATATAATAAATATTGTTAAATGTGTCTCAGTCACACTCGACATAGCAAGACGTCTCGCATACCGACTTCTTAAAACATAAAAGCCTAAAACCCACAAATAATTACTAAAGAGCTAATAAAATATAGTGTAACATCTATAGAAAGTAGAGACTACCCTACCCTCAAGAAAGTGTGAAGTAGTAAGTGTCAGCTACAGAGACAAAAAAAAAGACAACCAAGGGAGGAAAGGGCCATCTGCAAAATCGGATAAGTAACCTTAAACATCTGCATGACCCAACACATAATTTGAAACATTGGACACGACAGTTACCTTAAAATAAAGTTAGGCACTTTGCTTAAACTCTAGGCCTCGTGGTATACAATGTATACTATACATCTTTCTCGCGTGACTTATTTTCAACATAACACACTAGTACCATAAATAACTATTATTGATTTTGTACTGTAAACTCAAAAGTTTCTATACTAAATAAATATGAACTCTTAGATCGTGACAAATAATATTACATTAACTTAAGAAATCATGTTTATGAGGCGAAAAAAGAACGCCCTGTACATTGAAAAGCAGTAACTTTTGAAAAAAGTCTGGTACCTCAAAAATTCGTCCATTCGGTTATATTTGATTACCGTAAGGTTTGGGATCGATTACTTTTAAAATTGGGCTATAATAAAAAAAACAAAAAAGTGATTTTGAAAGCAACGCTCAACTTTGCACACTGCGCATAGCAAAAGGGCACATCATATAGGGTCAAAAGTATTAAAGGTCAAATTCTGAAAAAATTCACTGTTAGCAAAAAGCAAAAAAACTCCCCTTTCGGAGGATGAAATTAGGGGACGCGGAAAGAAAATTTTGGGGAATATTCTTGATTCATTATCAGCACCCCTGATTCTACATAAAAAAAAATAAAAACCGACTACCATCGAGTTTTCCTTCTACAATCTTTGTTTCCTGGACTAACGTTAATAGTTTTAGATCAAAGTAAAGCCTTTGACCTGGTCAATTTTTATAAATGATCAAGGAGCGAAGTTCAGCATCACTTACTCTTTCATTCAATCCAGTACTTGATCTTATTTAATTAAAAGCCATCAGATAATAGTAATATTTTTATTAAATGATATTAATTATTTATTTGTAAATAATATACATGTACTTCAAAGATTTAGCGGCTTCTCGCATACCGGGTGCTACGAAATTGGGGTTCACTTTTTCCAATTCGTCATGAGTCACGTCTACCAACTCTATGAAGCCGGCTTTTTTACCCACAGCTTGTGAAGTTAGTGAAGAGAACACGCCGGAAGATGCTGGAATACCGACTGCACGACATAAAAGCTCCCTAGAAAATGTATGGTTTTTAATATTTTTTGATCTAAAAATTTCATATGTTGTAATTTTTTTTATTTTACCTGCTTTTAAACATTTCGACTCCAATACCTTCTCCTCTATATTTTGGCAGCACAAATAATCCGAAAGCTCGCATTTGGTGGTCAATATTTAGGGTCTCATATAAATCAACCATTCCGTAGATGTATTGCATTAACACTAGAAATAATCTAATTTTCTTTGATTTAACCTAAAATCAATTAAATTTGTTAAAATCACACTTTTTTAATACAATCCATTTAAGATGGTTTTAGCAAGGTCCAAATGGTATATCGTACCCAAGATGTATCTACAGATTCATTTTTAGTTGATCTGTAGTTCATGTTAATAGCAGCAATTTCATTTTGTCCAGATTCATTTTTGGTTAAACAAATCAAACCCAATTTGTGTTCAGAAAAGTATTTCCATAGTTTTCTTGTATCTTCAACTGTCACTGGGTCTTCAAAGCTTTCTAAAAAATTCAAAAAAAAGTTTTAACATTCTATTGTATGCTCTGTACTGGAATTTACTCCATTACGTCAGGTTTTTAAGAAATTCTTAACCAAAATTATAAAAACCGTTACCTACATCATGAAATATTTTTTTCCGCTGAACTCTTTCTCTTTAGAATCCCATTTGATTGTTCCAATATGTTTTCTTTTTTCCAAAAAATCGTTCCAACCAAACTCATAAGTTAAAATAAGCTTAAATTTAATTTAGAAGAGAAAAGTATAATGCTGATTACCATAATTATAATACCCTTTACTATAATTTATATTACTATTTGGGACAACTATCTTGTATATTGCCAGATACTATGCATATTTAGTAATTATTAAATATCCATGTATGTTTAACCTTAAGGTAAAATATTATTATTCTCAACCAATTTTGTTTTTAATTCTTATTATAATTAGATTTTTTCCATTACTAATAAGTTTAGTAAATTTTAAAATATTATGTTGTCATTTTAAATATAAAATATTTTATATTTTTATATGTTAACAATTAAAAATTGTAACATATTTATTGTACTTTTTAATATACAAAAATTTTATGAGAAAGAATTGAACCTACACCTCGCCAAAGTTTTTTGTTTTGAGTGCTTTCCAATAACTTCAAATACCGACAGACAGGTGTTTTGACCTATATTGGGTATCATCAGTGTCGACACGATACTGTCGAGCAACTTGTAGTAGTGGAACACACCCAAAACAAAGAAATACCTGAGCTTATATAAAATGGTTGGTAAGCCAACAGAGGCGAGATGTAAGAACATCACGTGATCCACACTGTCTAACGCCGCGTCGCGACGTGGCCTTTGCCGCAATCGGTACATACTATGCAACCAAGTAGGTTCAATTCTTTCTTATAAATATTACCAGTAATGGGTCAAGAAAGTTTATTAAAGAAACTAAGAAAATTGAATGTTTAAAATGTCATGAGTTACTATATTGTATATTATATTTAAATATATTGTTTATTTACCTTAAACATAAAAGTATTTTTTTTACTTTATTTTTTATTAATGTATAATTTATTATAAAATTAGATGTACACCGTACATTTGATTGTTGATAGTAAAATCAATTTACTGTACGAACATATTAAAAATTAAAATATATATTACCTATACATTTATGATTTAGTAATATTGGTGTTGTAATCTTTACTAAAATTGTATAATAAAAAATACTATTTTGTATTACAATCTTAATATTGTATTGACGAATATATAATATTCTTACCCTAAAAATTTGTTAGGTAAAGTAAATTTTACTATATTTTTTTTACTATCTAAAATTTACTGTACATTTCTCTCCATGTAGTTTTGGAGCAATTCTAAAGCCGATTTCGAATCCAGTACAAAAAAAGATAAAATATGGTTTCTGTTTAAAAAATTCGTTTTCAATGTTTAATCAATTTTGTTAAATAAATCGAGAAAGTTACTAAATACATAAATTTTATGTTTAACTTTAAATCTTTTAAACTATCTTATAAAATTACTTATTCAAAATTATAGTGTCGCACTAGCTCTATAACGAATTTAAAGTGATTTCACAATTATGGATTTCAGTAGGGCAATTGTCAATTTAATATTATTAAATTTTTAAAATAAATAAAATTTAAAATTACACATAAATTTAAAATATGAATCAATCCCACAACTTACTGTGATTCTTGGAGAAAGCTTCCTCATGCAAAAACCCTGTGGTCATATAATTAATGGCTAACTCTAGAAGATCGTTCGTTATATCTTGTATCCAGTACTGCCTCTTTTTCCCGTCTACCACTTTTATTCCTTCAAATTTCCCCCAGATTGAAGGAAAAGGTACACTGGCTGGCCTCTTCCAATCGCTCATATTACCTTTGTAATAAATATAGTCTAAATGACTGACTGAAATGATGACTACTTATTTTTATATTCGGTTTCATCTATTTGTAATTATAAATTATTTTTTTATTGATTGTGATTATTAACTCAAAAGTGAATATTCGCAAGATTAATAATCTATATATCTTTTAAGAAAATTAAAGATTTATTGGTATTGATTTTTTTACTGTCCACTTTAACATGTTTATGCTATGAAATAAAAATAGTTAAAACAATTTTGCTAGAAAATTGTCGAAATTAGCAACAATTATTATAAACAAATTAATTTTGATTTTAATTTTTATTTTGACGAGAGTTTTTTTTGTATGACAGCTTGTTTAATAGCGAAAGTTTTGATGAAAAATACTCGGATTTTGAAAACCCACTTTTGTGTCACTTTTTATTTAAGGGATTGCAACTAGGGATGCACAATGTTCCAAATAATAAATTTTGATTTTTTTTGTAATTTTATTGCAATAAAAAGCAAAATAAAATACATAAATTATATACAGGGTGTTATGTTTTTATTGTAATATATTAAAATACCGAATATGACATTCTTACATAAAAATCGAGAAAAATATATAAAAAATATTTTTGAAAGATACGCCACTGGTAACACACTTGTGTTCTGTGGGTACTATCAAATAAATATATATATATATTAGGGTGTTTCAAAAAAAATCGTTAACACCCTAATATATATATAATTTTATATATAAAATTATATATGTCTATGGTTCTGTTCCATTAGTTTACCCAGTTATGTATGGCGGCGCATTAAACACTGTACTTACTACAACAATGCTTTAATCTTTCGTTAATAAAACAAATGAACACTGAATTTAATTTATCACGAAATATTATTATTAAATTTTGCTTTTAATTTATTTTATTTTTTAAGAAATTAAATTTAGAAAAAAAATCTCAAATCTGCAATTTTAGAGGTTCGTGTAAAGCACCCACAGATTTCGTTCTTTTTCATCAGTTTGTATCGCCACGTTTCAGAACGTCGTGTCAAAAACGCAAAAAACTGAAAACCAAAAATTCCCGTAGTTCGTGGGCATTGATATATTAACATTTTGGCAAGACGTTTCGAATCGTGAAAATTAAATGAAAAAGAACTATCTGTAGGGGCCTTTAACACTGCTTAATATGTATAATATACCTATTTTTGAATGAATTTGTAATTTTCACACTTTTTACTTTTAAACTATTTTAGGATGTAAAAATATTATATTATCCAAACTATTAATTTAAAATAATATGTGTTAATTGTTAGCAGAGCTGTCAAAGATACTTTTAAAAAGTATCTAGATACAAGATAAGTTACTTTTTGAAAAAGTATCCGAAGTTACTTTGGGTATCTAGTTACTCTTTACAAAAAGGAACTTAAATACTTATCTTAAGTTACTTTTTAAGATACTTAATAAGATACTTTTTTAGTTACTTTGTATATTGTGTAATAAGTTTCGTTCCAACCCCAACCTGATTTTTCAAATAATTTTAAGCTTACTTTTTTAACAATTTTTTTCAATAAAATTTAGTTGATTAAAACCATTGAAGGGCCTAATGCAAAAAGTGTCTAACTTATGCACTTTTAAAATATCTTAAAAATAAAAAGAGATAAAATCGTTAATTAAACACCACTTAATTATAAAAATAAAAAAATTATCTCACACCTTTCATTTAATCTTTTTTAACATTTTTTTAAAATTTAAAATGGAAAACATACATTGAATATTATAGAATGTACGGTACAATGTAACAACCAATATCATACATCAGTACATCCACAATCCACACATCATGGATTGTGAGTACATCATAAAGAAGCAAGTGCAAGTACTTACCTAACCTAACTTATTTCAGACTTACCACTATAAATTCAAGTCGCAACGAACGGAAACACCCTTCTACAGAGCGGGTGGCGAAGTCACAGATTATAAAAGAAGTATAGGTGAATAAAAATTAAGTAGGTATAACAAAAATCGCCGCCAGTCGATTGGCGCCAGTCGCTGAAGTCGCCAGTATACTTATTATAATAACTTCGATGGCCGCGGCCGTTTCGAACAACTTGACTAAAGGAACTTTTCTTGTGGTATCTTAGATACTTTTTGGTATCTAAGTTACTTTTTGGTATCTAAGTTACTTTTTGGTATCTAAGATACTTTTCGGTATCTAAGATACTTTTTTTTTAAGTTACAAGATACAGTTCCTAAGATACTAGATACTTTTTGTTAAAAAAATAAAGGAACTAAGATACAGTAACTTAGATACTTTAAAGTAACTAAGTTGCTCTAAAGTAACTAAGATACTTTTTTCTGACTCAGTGCTCTGATTGTTAGGTGATAAAGTAAATTGGTTTTCAAAAATGGTGAATGCGTCGGGATCACAATTTTACTTTTTTAACAACAAATAGGTAGGTACCTAATTAATTTTAAGTTCAAAACTATAAACTATAAATTGAAGTTTATTAAACGGTATTTAAAAAAGTTTATAAACGAGTTGCGCACTATACCTTTTCTACGGCAAATATTATTATAAAAAAATAATTTATTACAAATTAATTTAAATATTTGTAGAGAAAGTCATTCTACAAAATAGAGTAACCAAATTGATGTTAGGAATCTGTTTTACCGGTTTTCAAAATGTCAGTGTCAGCTTGTCAAATATTTTAAATGGACTAACAACCGTTTAAATCCGATATAGAAGCAGTTTTTCACAGTGAAAGTGAAGAGAATGTTTTTATTGGTAATAGTTTGATTTAGCGAAATCCAAACGCTTGTACCTACAAACGTGCATAGAAACTATTTAATAATTTTGTATTGGGATAATAAAATTATTTTCACATTTACTATTAATTCACAATAAAGGCGCTTTATTTTAACGATTGTATGTGATTTGACAGTTAACTAATTTAGAACTAACTTCAGCCCGTGACCAAAACACCATAAAGCCACAAATTTTAAAGAATTTCTAAATTTTGGATATCAAAAATTTGAAAATTTAAAATGTTGCGAAATCCACAGCCATTTCCAATAGGATTCGTGCAAGGTCCTAGCTTTAGCATGGAATACATTCTGTTTACATATATACGCAAAAGTATCGGGTTTTCGCAAAGCGCGCGCCATCTGGTGGACTTCAAAAGCATTGCGTGAATTTAAGAATTGTCAACAATACATTTAAAGCATACGAACTGTACATTATTTTTAAATAAATAGGTAGTTTTCTCACAAATTTTGTTCAATTGCACAGCTTAATCGCGCACGTTATTTGTGTTTTACGTTGCAAGGAAAAAACTAAAAAACTGGTTTAGTACCTACTCGATTTCGATTGATTATTCTTTATATCATTGACTAATAAGCTCAACGCCTAAATTCTTATATAATTACGATAGTGTGTGTATTTTATCTAAGGGATCATGGTGAATTATTGTGTTTTTAATTGTAAAGAAAATTCAAGAAATAAATCGGTGCATTTTCATGTTTTGCCAAAGGATCCCATTGGGTAAGTACATTCGTTGGTTCAGAATTAAATAATAATACCTTTTCCTGATATAATTTATATTTAAGTTTGGACATTTTTAAGAAATTGGTAAAAAATAATTTTTGCACAAACATAACTTTAAAATCAACCATTTTTATATTTGAGTTCTCTAAAAAACTCCGACAACTGCATTTAAACAACAAAATATACCTACGAATTCATGGCAACATAATATTATATATAATACATAATATTATGGTATTTTACAGTTGAGTGGAGATTTTAAAAAATTTCTAATCAACGCTTTTAATAATGCTAAATGCAGTTTAAATTTAGACGACTTATTTGTTTGACGATTATTACTGAATTGAAATGTTTACACTTTTAACGTTAAACATTACTAAAATTATTTCTTCATTCGGATTAAAACTGTTTTAAACAGTCTGTTTATTGGAAAACCAATAAAAACTCAACCCAGGATTTCCTCTCGAAATGCACCCAACAACACAACAAATCGTGCCACGGTTTTTTTTCGATATTTTTTTAACATTTTCAGGCTTTATTCTCAAAAACACTCGTTTGTTTGTTTTGTTACAATGATAACAGCCTAGTGGTGACGCTACTAGCGAAACTTCTTTTGCGTATAAATAGAAAGCATAGTTATTCAATTTAATTTTTTTTTGCAAAAATGGCGAACTCCCCGGGATAATTCAAAATATTATATGTGATTATTTCCCTCATTATAATATGAACCAATCAAAAGCCTTGAATTTTCGAATAAATTTTGTTTAAATAAGCGATTAAATCACTAGAACTATTTAACAGCGATTAAATTTTAGCTTCCATATTGGATTTTTGTTTACGATTTTATGGTGTTATTTACAAATTTTAACAAACATTTTTTTAAAAACAATAAAAAATCTAGTTTACGAAATATCAATTATTACTTATTACATACCTTAAATTAATGGAATTTTCTTTAAAAAAATATTTATATAAATTTTGACACATACGTCAGATTTTATGAATCGTCAAATAGTTTCCTTTAATTCGAGAAATAATCTAGACGTATATCACTCAACCTATAAATTTAATCTGTCAAACTATGCTCAGTAAGTTTTTTATTTGATTTTTCTTTTTGGAAAATAGTTTCAGGCAAAATAATTAAAAACCCCTTGACCGCTACGCGGTCTCGTGATTTTATTAAATTATTTTGCATTCAACATTTTCCAACAAAAACCAAACAAAAAACTACTGAGCCTAGTTTAACCGATTAAATTCATAGTTCTCGTGATATAATATATGATTATTTCCTTCCTTATAAATAAAATGAACAAATTAAAAGCCATGAATTTTCGAATAAATTTTGTTTAGATAAGCGATTAAATCACTACCTAGAACTGTTTAACAGCGATTAAATTTTAGCCTAGATATTGGATTTTTGTTTACGATTTTATGGTGTTATTTACAAGTTTTAACATACATTTTTTTTAAAACAATATAAAATAAGTTATCTAG